CAGCGCCCTGGGGTCCGGTGCGGGCGCAGGTGGCCTGGGAGACACGGCGCGCGCAGGCGCCGAGTCCGGGACAGAGCTCGCCGCCGTCACCGGCAGCAGCTGCCCCGGTCAGGCGCGCCGCTTCTCCCCCCTTCCCCGCCCCCAGTCCCTGCGCGCACAGCTCGCACCTTGGAAACAGAGGGACAGCCAAAAAGAGGCCACAACAGAAGCCAAACACAGAGGCAAAGACAAGAAGAGACGAGAAAACGAGGGTGGAAGGAAAGAAGGCCGCGATGATGACTCAGAGGGGGCACGCAGTTTGGATCCGTCTGTTGCCATGGCGACCGGCAGGGCCAAACCTCGTTTCCCACGGGAGCTCGCACACGCGTTCCAGGAGGGCCCAGGTCCCACCAGCTTAAGTGTGTTTCCTGTGTGTGCGGCACCGCAAGTCAGGACTGAGGCCGCGGGAGGAGAGCCGGGGACGCAGCACCGCACGGGTCACCGCAGCCGCCGCGGGCTCTGGGGCGGCCCCCGCGGCGAGGGACCACATGGCGACACTCACCCCGCAGGCGGCGAACGTGCAGCAGTTCACGCAAACACCGACTCACTGTGCCGCCTGCACAAAACTCATGGGATGGCGTGTGCCAATTACACTTCAGTAAATAAATACACAGATACGCAAAAGCCCAGAACCCATCACCCTAAAGGGTATGTATACAATATTTACAGGACAGAATAGAAGTCAAACACAATTCCTTTCAAAAAGCATAGAAGAAGTTAGAAAATATATTATTATATGAAAAAACCAAACACGTTATTATGAAAAAGGGCCAACTAGGAAACAAAAAAAGCCAGTTTTTAAAATTTCCAATTATAACTACTAAAATTTAATAGACTATTTGGATGACAAAATTAAGGCTTACCTATGAAAGCACAATAAAATGGAAAAAATGGGGATGGGACGAAGGTAATCCAAGTAGAAAAAAACAGAGAATTCAGATAGTCTAGAACCAGAACAATACAAATCGCAGAAGGAAACACTCCCCCCGCCCCCGCGAAGTAAAACAGAAGTAACATTAACAAAGCGACAACCGAGAGGCCAGCTGGGCGGTGGAGTGCGAGACCCTGCAGCTGAAGAGAGCCCCGGCCTCCGGCCCTGACACGGCGCAGGTCTGGGAACTCGCAGAGGCGGAGTTTAAAGTAACGACGTCCAGTGTCTCACAAGGGCGCTACAAAGAGCAGACAAGAACAGATGGTCAAGAGAAGCAGAGTGAGGAAACCTCGAGAAAACGCCAGGACTCAGACGACGGCAGAAGCAGCAAAGGGCACCTCTGCCCTTCCCCAGGCGGGCTCACGGGGGGCCTGGTGGTGAGAGGAGCGGTGGGCTCACCGTCACCTCGACAGAAACGCCCCAAGGACAGAAGCAAGCAAACAACAATCTAATGAGGAAAACCCGGAACAGTATGTGCGACAATTACAAAAGCTGTGACGCATGTGAAACCGCAATGCTACGCAAAGAAGGAAAGGAAACGGAAGAAATGTTTGAAGTAACAGGGGCTGAAGACATCCCCAAACCAGAGATGTGCCCTGGCCCGACACCCAGGAGCTGCCGAGAGCACCCAGCAGGATGAACACTAGGCGTTCAGTTACCCCCGGTCCCTCACATTCCAAGAAAAGAAAGGGATAAAGAGAATACCTTGAAAGAAGCCGGAGAATAAATGCTCCTTACAAAGAGCAGCCAAAGCACTCTCGACTCCTGCAAACTCCCTGTCTTCAACGGGTTTTCTCAGGTTTCTCCGTTTCTGCTCGCACAGACCCCACGGCGGAGGGAGGGAGGGAGGCCCCGGGCCCTCCGGCCGCTCGGCCGCCGGGCTCTGGGCGTCGGGCTCTGCTGAGGACGCGCATGTGCTTCGGGCCTGTCCTCGTCTCTGAGGCCTCAGTCCGAATGTTGAGAAAACACAAAGATTCCTATCAGATATCCAGTGAACACATTTATATAGTCATTAGGATGTTACATTTAACAGTTTTCTTATACCTGTTACCCTTCAACACTTAGGCCCAGTGAGGCGGCAGCTAGTAGGTTCTGTGTCTTCAGGAGAGGACGATGCAGAAAATCTGCAGCATAAAGAAGTCCATCTGCTGTCCACAGCCAAAGCCCAAGGGCGAGGCAAACATCTGACGAGAAGAAAGGACCAGGTGGGGCCACACGGCCAGCCGAAGAGTCAGCAAGAACGGAGGGGCAGGTGCCAGCACGGGAAGAGGGCCGTGGCCAGCCCAGACGCCCGCCCCCTTGACCCACACTCAGCCGCCCGCCCGGGGCGCAGAGGTCTCGGGCGACGAGAGCTCCAGGAGGGAGAGAGGGGCAGGCACGGGAATGAGTGTCAGTTATCCTCGCGGCCAGAGACTCTGATTGGAAACCCGGACGTGACACGCGTCTGCCTGATTTCCGTGGAAGGTGCTGGAAGGTCACACCAGAAACTACTCGCACGGCTCATCTGCAGGGCGCGGGACAGGACGTCGGCAGGGGGAATGAGAACTTCAACGTCTCCCTTTAAAACTCTGACTATGTCCATAGGTTTTGGAATTCGTTTACTTAGTCAACAAGGTATAAGTTGTTTTTAGGAAAGCAAAGTTGACAATTGACAGCGAGTGCAGAACACGTAGGTGAATGCAGTGGGTCCTGCGAGAACGACAAACAGGGAACGGAAGAGCACTGAGCGAGGAAGGGGAGCGAGGGGGCAGAGAGAGAGAGGTGAGGACCCCCAGGGAGTCGGCAGAGGGGAGGGGAGACGCCACCGGCCTGGCCTGTGCGATGGCAGGGCGGGGCTTCGTGGGGGTGTCCACGGCCGCCGTGCGGCTGGAAAACACGGAGGAAAACTCCGGAAGGAGGCACCAGGCCAGGTAAGGAGCTGCCGGTCGCACCGCTAAGGAGAGGCGACAAGGTCACGTCTCCGCGGCAGACAAGAAGCCTCGCGGACCGCTGCAGCCGCCTCCAAGTGCGTGGAGTTCGTCGGGTGGAAGGAAGATGAGACTCCAGTTTTGCCTGGGGAGCAAAGACTTGAAACCAAAGAGTGAGTTAAAAGGGAGCAGATTTTACAGAGTTTCCTAAAACCAGACACATTAACTAAAAAGCAGTCCCCGACACCCTGAGGAGCAAAGTGTGGGGAGATTGGGAACTGTTGGCCCCTCCAGTCTGCCTTGGCCGGGACGGCAAAGCGGCCGCGTGTCTGCAGACGGAACCTGAACGGACACCCACTCCCCGAGAAGCGGGGGCGAGCCCAGCACTGGGGGCGGCCCTCCCCTGAAGACACAGAGCCGCTGCTTCTGCCTTTTACAGGGACGAGGACGACACGGCTACCCCAAGCTCATGGCCGCCAGCCCGGTGCTGGGGACCCAGCCGGGACGTGTCTGCAGAGAGGGCGCCTGAACGGAAAGTGCGGACGGACAGGGGGTGGGGAGGCCTGGGGAAGAGCGGAGACTAACCCGACGCATCCACGACTCAGCCCTGGGCCACACTCGTGGCCCACAGGCCACGCCGCCCTTTCTGATGCCGCCCACCGCCGCGCCCGCCACGGAGCCACAGCGAGCTGACTCCGCACCTGGGCCCTACCCAGGCGCCGCGTCGGCCCAGGCTCCCGGGCCCCGGAGGTCAGAGGGCGGAGAGGAGTTCGCGGAGCATGACGGTCACGTGTCAGCAGCGTTGCAGACGGCGGAGTGACAGCCCGAGGACGCTCCGCATCTCAGCGCTCGTCTGAACACCCGTCGCCGGGAAACGGGCGCCCACGGCGATCTCACACGCAGGCGGGCGTTCATACCTGTGATCTGCGGTTCAGAACCCAGACCGCCTGCGCTGTTTAACAACCTGGAGGCTAGAATGTTAAATGGACGGAACGGACAGAAGCTACTGACAGATGCAAACCGAACTGGTCGTTGTCACCGTATTAGGTGCTTGCGAGGAACGCTCAGTAGCTTCACAGTAAAGATCCTCCTAAAAACAAGACAGACTGTTCACGCCCATCTGTCTCAGAACAAACAGGCGTTCAGAGACTTAGCCAGCGTCCCCAGGGCCAGGGGCAGCGTCGCGAGTCCGATGCAAGGTCAGGAGACTAAGGAGGCACCGCGGGCACCGTGCGGCTCTGGACGGCTGTGTGACGTGTCCTCGTGCGCCAGCTCCTTGGATCCTCACAAGGACAGTCTCCTGCCCTCACCGCCCCTCCTGAGCACCCTCTTCGGATGACGGGCGTGGAGACGGAAGACGGGAGAAGGCGCTGCCTCGCCTGCATAGCGACGCTGAGTGGCCAACCCAGAACGCAGCCGGGTCCACCCTCAGACCCGTTCAGGTGCACCTCGGAACAGCGCCTCCCTCTCTAAAACGCTGTTCCTGCCACTGGCAAGCTCTGCGGCCGCAGATAAGTTGATTAATTCCTCTGGATATCAGTTCCCTCCCGGGTAACATTCTGTTACTGAGTTACAGGAATGGCAAGTCCTGCTTCTTATCTAGCATTCCACCCCTCCTGCAGTGACAGCGTGTCGTAAAACCAGAACTGAAGGATACGATGGTACTGCTGAGTGTTTCTTCAAACACAGGTGATTGTTCCTCTTGAGAACGTAAACTCTACTTGGAGAATCAATAATACACATGTAGTGCATTAAACCAGCACTAAGAGCCGACTCTGTAAGAGAGTCGGCCTGATGCTTATGACAGATAGGAAGAGAACAATGCTAAAATAACAATAATAACAACAACAATCCCTGTCTTCGTGGAACTCAGACACACCGGAAACAAGGGGCGAGTCGGGAAGCCGTTGGGAAACCATGTGTCGCGCAGACACTGGACCAGACAGAGTCATGGGACAGAGACCAGCGCGGTGGCCTGGAGCCCCGACCGCGCCGGGTGAGAGGTGGAGCAGGCACGTACACAGGCAGAGAAAGGTGCAGGGGGAGCCTCAGACAAACACGTGCTCACAAACTAATATCCTAGAAACTGATGTGCATACAATGGTCCAACTTCCGAAACGCACCTGTACTCACCACAGCCGCAGGCGCCGAGGCAGCCGAAGTCGTCCGTCCGCAGGTGCGACCCTGCAGCCGTGCGCGAGACGCGCGGACGGTGAGCGCGTGGCCGCGGCCGTGCGGGCGGCCTGGCCGCGAGGGGCGGGGCTGCGCTCTGCTCCGCGCCCCACGCACCGCGGCTTCCTGCACGCGTCTCCCGGGAGCTCTGCGGCCCGCGGAGACCCTGGGGCGGAAACACCTCCCAGGACGCTGGACGCCCGAAGCAGCGCTGGGTCACTCGGGAGAGGAAACACGCGAACACGAGCTCAGCGGGAGCACCGGGCGCGAACCCGCTCCGAAGCCGTTTGGAAGGGCCTCCCGGCGGAACCTGTGCCGCGGCGCGTCCCAGAGGCGTCTCCGAGACGGAGGCCCCTCCTGCAGAAAGGCAGTCAGGGGGGGCTTCCTGCCCTCGGAGGCTGGAGGGGGGGCCGGCCACGGAGCCGCCCGGCCCGCAGCCCCGGTGTGGGGAAGGGGGTGGGAGGGAGGGGGCACAGTCAGGCCCGCTCTGGGCGAGCGGAGTGCGACTTCACTTGTGGCTCCGCCGTAACCGGTAATTTACGGGCCGGCGTGTTTTGACAAGGCCTCACCAGCCTGTAATTTTTTAACCAGAAAGGTCCAGCACATTCTGAGTTTTCGTTACTGATTTTTACATCCCAAGGACAGAAGGTCAGTGGTTCTTTCCACTGTCCACCACAGCGCGTCCACTTCCTACCTGCGTGCTGGGTGTGGCCAGCAACACCAAGTGCCCTCCGGCCCGTCCATACGAAGTGGGCTGACGGCGGGCGGGTGTTTCCCGTTACACCACGTCCTGGAACAGGCAGAGCTCCGCGGTGCAGAGCCGCCGGCAGCCTGGCCGGCCCGGCCAGGGCACACGGCCGACAGAGGCACTCACTTCCTCAATGTCCTTCTTTCAGTCGACCAGTTCATGCTCTTCTTATATTTTTTTATGAATTGAACATATTGGGATGACATCTCCATTTCTGAGTATTTTCCAAATCTTCTCTGGATCCTCATTTCACCCTTTCAGTCTCTTCCACGCCCTGGGAGGCCAAGTTCAAGGCCCTCTCACCCCATTCGGCCAGTGAGAGGCACGGTTCCCCCACCCGAGGGTGGGGCGTGAGGTCGGAGCGGCTCCCTGCCCCCTCCTGGTCAGGCTGTCACCTCCCTCAGGCGGGACTAGCCAGCAGCTGGTTTATAACTTTGTCTTCCATTAATAGCACATGGAAAATGTTTAACTCTTTAATTTTCAAAAAAGGCGAGGATTAAGGGTGATCAGAATAAAATCACATGACAAGGTTGGAAAAAACAGATTTTAATTGCTTTATTAAACATTACATGTTAGAGCTGAAAAAAATCACATAAAAGTTTCACCTGGGTTTTTTTCCCAATTGCATTTGAAAATGTCTGTGTTCCAGGAGACATCCAGTTACATTTCATTAAAACCTCCCTTCTCCGCATCCTTTGGCTGTGCTCGGGGGCGTTCGGTTTCTAGAAAGTAACACTGAGGACAGTGGTAAAGGGTTTGCATCACCTACTGCACGGGAAAGGTCGTTCCCAAGCTTTTAACTTCCGTGGTTGGTGCTGTGATGCTGTTTTCTGCCTGTTCTTTTCGGAGCTCTCCCTCAGAACACAGCCAGGACGTGAAAGAAGCGAAGCTGTGGAAATAAAAACGGACACTGTTCCCTTCGCTTCGACACCGCAGACCTGCACCCACCACGCAAGTGGCCTCGCCCTGGACGGGACGCAGGCATGCAGGGCCGGCGGGAAGCGCCCTGGCTGGGCAGCGCCGTGAGCCGTCACGCAGGGCCCCCCTGCGCGGGGCACCAGACCGCCCACCCTCCAGGCAGGGCGCCCCGGGAGAGTGTGAAATGAATGAGACCTTGGCGGATGTCTCGCTAACCGGCTGCTGGGCCCTGTGAACACGGGCTCGCCTTCTGGCAGGCCAGTTTGGTGGGGAAACTGCAGATGGAAGTGAAGTTTCAGGACATGAACGGCCTTCAAACTGCCTGGTCAGGTGCCGCGGAGTCTCCGCACGCCCCCCACCCCCCGTCGGTGGTTGCTGCGCCCACTTCCACACACAGGAGGGGCACTCGGGGCCAGGAGAGCCATGGCTTACCCAGTCTCTGACTCACACAAGCTCAGAACTGCCTCTGTAAAGGGACAAACTCTATCCTTTTTTAAAAAGATTTTGTTTTGTTTTCAGAGAGAGGGGACGGGAGGGAGAAAGAGGGGGAGAGAAACATCGATCCGTTGCCTCTCACGCGCCCCCAACTGGGCACCTGGCCTGCGACCCAGGCGTGTGCCCTGGGTGGCACCGAGCCGGCCACCTGTCCGTGTGGGGGACGACGCCCAGCCCACGGGGCCACCCCGGGCAGGGCGGGATGGAACCTGTTCTTACTGTCCGGTGGAAGAGTAGAATACGATGAACCTCACGTTTTCCCCAAATACCCTCCGCTCAGGCCGGTCGACTGCTTATGTCGTCACTCATTCCCCCTGTGTGTGTGCGTGACATCACACGTATACACACACGTGTTGATGTGCATTTCCTGAAAACAAGGGCGTCTTCCGCGTGGCCACGGCACAAGGGCCAAAGCCAGGAGACGCACCCGGGACTCGGACACAGCGCCCTTCGCTGGCCCGTGTGTCGCACACGCAGACTTTCCCCGCTGCCCTGTAACGTCCTTCACCGCCGCCGGGGTCCCGTCCGGGGTCCAGTCTGGGGCCGCGTGTCGCACTCACGGCTGTGTCCTCACGCTCAGCCTTCCTCAGACTCCCGTGACCTCGGCGCTTCCGTAGAGGCGAGGAGAACGTGTCCCCGGTTGGCACAGGCTGGTGTGCCCGCACGGCCAGACGCAGAAAAGAAGCCCTTTGCAGCAGCAAACAGGGTGCGGCACCGACGCCCAGGGGCCCCGGAAACCGGGGGGGGGCCTCGGGGAGATCGGGGAGAGGCTTCCATCCGCAGCCCCGCCGCGTTGCTCACTCGGACACTCCTCCGCTCACCCAGCAAGGAGCTGCCGAGCACCTGTCACGAAGCAGGCGGCCTCCTGGTCTCCTGGAACAGGGCAGTGAGCAAAAGACAAACGCCCTGACCTGTGGCAAGTTTAGGGCGGGGTCCTGGCACCTGGGGCCGTGACCTTACTTGAAAACATGGTCCTCGTAGACGTAACCGAAGCACAGACCCCGCGATGAGCTCGTCCTGGATTCGAGGACGGGCCCTAAGCCCGGCCGCGAGGGTCCTGGTCAGGGACACACGAGAACACACAGACACACAGACACGTGGTGGGGAGGCCGTGTGAAGGCAGGGGCAGGGCCGGCCCTGGGCTGGGCCAAAGGCGTCGCAGCCACTGGAACCTCGGAGAGGCAAGGGGGGCCCCTGTGGAGGAGCCCACGCTGCCGACACCTGGATTTGGGGTTCTGCCCTCCACAACTGTGAGGGGATGCATTCTTGTCTCTGTGAGCCACCAAGCTTGTGGCGCTTTGTCACAGCATTCCCCGGAAACGGACCCCTGGAGGCCGCACTGTGGTGACCACGACGTGGTGGGGGAGGGGAATGCTAAGGGGGGGGCGGCCTTGGCAGCTGCGTGAGCTCCAGTGCATCTCTCTCTGTCTCTCCCTCTCTGGTCACAGTTTATCTTATTTTATTTTTCTTTCTTTTTTAAAAAAATATTTTATTCATTTATTTTTAAAGAGAGGGGAAGGGAGGGAGAAAGAGAGGGAGAGAAACATCAGTGTGCGGTTGCTTCTCACATGCCCCCACTGAGGACCTGGCCGGCAACCCAGGCGTGTGCCCTGACTGGGAATCGAACTGGTGATTGTGTGGTTAGCAGACCGTGCTCAATCCACCGAGCTACACCAGCCAGGGCTATTTTATTTTCCTGTGGCAGGTGACATTCAGTACTACTTTGCACTAGTTTCGGGCGTGCAGCACAGCGGTCAGGCGACCGCACACCTTACAAGGTGATCCCCCCAGTAAGTCTGGCACCACCGGGCACCACCCACAGTCACTGCGTTGTCGACTCTGCCCCGGGCGGCACGCGGCACCCCTGTGACTGCTCCGCACCCGCCAGCCTGTGCTCCTCAGTCCCGTCACCTGCTCACCCAGCCCTCAGCCCCGCACTCTGGCAGCCGCCCGTCTGTCCCCGTGCCTGTGGGTCCGTCTCCATGCCGTCTGTTTATTTCATGAACACAGTGTTTTACGCTACAGAAAAAAGGGGAGCACCCTTGGGTGAACCCATGCCGTCCTCCCACATTTCTCGGGGCCCCTGTTGCCTGGCCTGCCCCCCCCCCTCCCCACCGCCCGTGCACCCGTGCCCTCCACCTGCTGCAGCTGCGGGCCCTCCTCCCGGACCTGCCAGTGCGACGCAGCGGGCCCACCGGCCACCTCTTCAGGGCACCTTCCCCGCTCCCCCGGACAGAGGCCCCAAAACATGGACGCGGACACCCCTCGGACTGTGTCCGTACTTCCGAGGCGGCGAGCAAACGCACCGGAGAAGGACAGAGGAAGCCCCTCCCTTTGCCGCCCGGAGCGGGAGCGCCCGCTGCCCAGGCGCGGCGGGGTCCCGCGCAGCCCGCGGCTCTCCGGCACACGCCTGGGGTTTCGCCGCGTGGCTGCCATGGCCCCACTGGGAACTGGCTGGCGAGCGCCGGCACGCCGCCGCCGTGGCTCCGGTTCCGAGTGTGACCTCAGTGCCGGATGGGCGCCTCCACGCTGAGAAACCCCGGATCTGCGGGGAAGCTGCGCTGGGGCTGCGGCCACGCAGGAACCTCTCCGAGCCCTAAGAGGATACGCGGCCACCAGGGGGCGGGGGAAGGCCTTCGTGCAGGGACTGGACCCCGGGGCAAAAGCCAGCGCTGCTGTCGGTGTCGCATGCTCTTCCCTGGAACCTGGACTCGCAGGCCCGTGGGAGCCACGCACCGGTTGGTGCCTTCAGCGCTCAGCGGCGTAAGCTGCTCGCCCTCCCGGTGTCCCCCCCCCCCCCCCCCCGGCACTGCGGCCGCGTGTCTGTTCGGGCTTCAAAGGACTTGTCGTCAGACTCACTGCTCCCGGGAACGTGGTCTCTGGGGCCCTCGGGACCCTGTCAGGGGCTTCACAAAGTCAAGAGCATTGTTTAGGGTTTTTGTTTATTTAGTTGTAGAGGGAAGGGGAGGAAGGGGGGAGAGGGCGAGAGAAACACCTGTGTGCGGCTGCCTCTCTCGCATCCCCCACTGGGGACCCGGCCCGCACCGGTGCCCAGGCGGGCACTCATCCACGGAGCCACACCAGCCGGGGCCACACTCCTTCTCACAGTGAGCATATTTCACCTCGGGGCGTCACACTGTAAGCACCTCCCCCCCCATAAAGGCTATCCAGGTGTTTACACAGAAAGTCTAAGTAGAACTATCACGGTCACTTTATCTGAGTTCTGGGGAAAATACAACGGAAACCATCACAACCGAGAAGGCAGCCACGCCTCGTGTGGCAGGAGGACACGAGAAGAGTTCGGAACGCCTGAAACACAGATACTCTCACCACACAGTGCGCCGTGAACAGGAAGCCGACGGCTTGAACTAGCACCCACGGGAGACACGCGGGTTAGCTGGCTGACAGTGGCCTCCCGCACACGGGCGAGCACAGCCAGCTCTGAGAAGAGATGGGCTAAGGGCGGCGGGCCAGCCACAGTGCGCAGACTTCCGGGCCCTGCCCTTCCTTCCAGAGTGGACCGAGGGACGACTTACTGCTTCTGGTCACAAATCTGGGTTGAAATTATTAGCCCTTTTCACTCAGTTCAAGGGGGGCACCCCCAAAACAGAATTGTCTTCTGGAGGGCGGGCCCTTTGTAGTACGGGCTCCCCCCACTGGGTGAGTGCTCTAGGAGCCCACCTTTATTGGTGAACCAGCTGGCGTTGTGGTGAGAGGCTGAGTTCAGCCTCAGTGAATTTACTTGACGACCCTTTCAACGTGTTTGCCAGCTTCACGACAGGTGATTCATGAGCGCACCCCCCCACACTGTGTGGAACAGCGGCTTCTGGCCGAAAGCAGCACCTCTCACGCGCTCCCCCAGGACGCCAGTGCTGCCCGCTGGTTCCTGGTCCGCGTTTGGAGAAGCAAGGACCTGGGATTCCGGCTAAAAGTGTAAACCCCAAGGCCCGTTCCAGACCCACTGGGCATCACAGCCCCTGGAGAGAGACCTGAGTTACACCACCAAACAGCCCACGTGGTGCGTCTTTCCAGGACGAGGAAGAGTCGTGACCTCGAGAAGCCCCCTGTGAGTAGAAACTGTATGATCACACCCCCACTTCTCACTGACCCCCCTGCGGCCCCAGACACAACTGGTGCCGTGGCTCGTGTTCCATGGCAGTACCGCTGCGGCCCCGGCCAAAAGCTGGGGGAAGGGCAGCAGAGCACGCCGCCCCCCCCGCCCCGGACAGGCCACTGGGCACAGGGCTGTCCTGAGAGCAGCTGAGAAGAAGCAGATACAAGACGGCGCTCCGCACGCCCCCATTTGCCTAACAACAGGGCGTAAATTCTCCATCCGGGAAGGGCGGCAGCAGCTGATCACGGGATACGGCTCTCGCCCCATCAGCCCAGAGGCAGCGCTGGGGGGTCTGCGGAACACACCTGCTGAGACCAGCCCTCGGATGACACCCGTTTCCCGTGAGTCTGCCCTCCCACCAGGTGCTGCCCTTGGGAGCTCAAAGTCCTTTCCTTTGTCTTGTCACTTCTCTAGAGACTTCATCTTCTCTTGTGAAGACAACGTATAAGCCCAAGTTCACGCTGCACCTCTGGGTTACTCATGGCCGTGTGCTCTCCTGTGTGCGCACAAGGCACTCCGTGAGAGACTTCTGTTGGATTTTCTGTCGTGATCCCTCTTTTGTCTGATTTACAGAGAACCCAAGGTGGGCACAAAAAAAGATTTTTTCCACCCCTTGCATTTGGAATGGGGGTCATTCTGCAGAGGGGTCAGCGCGGAGGCCCAACCAGAGCAGCTCAGACCCAGCCGGAGAGAGCGGGTCCCAGGAGCACCCTGGGAGTGCTGGACAAAACCAGAACCTGGAGTCCAGCAGCGGGGGCCAGACTCAGGGCTCCGGAGAAAGGAGGCAGGAGGAGGTGCTGGAAGGGCAGACCAGCCAGAAGCGGACGGTGGAGACAGGTAGAGACAGGTGGAGACAGGTGGACACAGGCCGAGGGGCACACGGAGGGAGGGGCTGCCGTGGCGCAGCAGGTACAGACTCACAGACTCGGGGCCACGCACCGGCGGCCAGAACCGCCCCACCCCCAGGTCCCTGCTGCTCTCGCCCGCAGGGCCCTGTTCTTCCCTGCACAGGAATCAAGGATCTGCCCACAAAGGCCGACATGCAGCAGGCCAGCGAAGCCAAATAAATCCATAAAGCAAATACCACTCTTTAAACATAAATCAGTGCTTCTAACTTATGTCTAATGGCTTTTTACACAGTTGAGCTTCTTAAAAACACATGTGACTGAGTCCTAATATTTAAAAGAGAAACATGTTTAACAGAAAAAAAGGAAAAACAAAAGTTATCTAAACTATGTTTTACCCGGGCCTGTGTGGCTTAGTTGGCTGGAGCATCATCCCGTACACTGAAAGGTCGCAGGTTCGATTCCCAGTCAGGGCACATGCCCAAGTGGTGGGCTTGATCCCTGATCGGGCGTGTGCGAGAGACAACCGACTGATGTCTCTCATATCGATGTTTCCTCCCTCTCTCTCCCCCTCCCTTCCTCTCTCTAAAATAAAATTTAAAAAAGTTTTTATTATCCTTATGATCTTATTACCATGGTTCCCTAATGTTCTCTTTCACAATCACTTCTACCCCTCATTTTGTCCATCACTCGCAGGGAGCTAAATTCAAGCCTTTAATCTAATAAGAAGCTAAAACCAGTGTAAGGTGTTCGGAGGTGAGCAGATAGAAATCAAAACGTATGTCTACTCATCCCTAATGCACTTCAGTATTAAATATATAATCAACGTGCTTTACTCTCAAAGGACTCATTTTCACACGCGACACCATGAATTGCCACTCGAGTGAACAGCGGAAGGTGGGGCTCATGGATGACTCAGAGCAGCGAAGCAGAGGCTGCGACCAAGACCGAGGCCGGGGCAGCTTGAGCGAACGGCTGGCCTGCAAGACCCAGGACCTGCGGGAACACGAACCACACAGGTGCAGCGTCTGCCCTGTCGGAGGTCCTCGCCCCTGGTCCCCGGGCGCCTCTGCTCCCCTGGGACCCCCTCGGGGACCTCGTGCACCTCCCAGCCGTCCTTTCCCTGCAGACGACTCCGGTCCGCACCGCGGCCCAGGTCCCCCTGCGGGGCTTCGGACTCGCACACTCAGCGGCCCTCGCTGTTGTCCCCGAGACCGCGGCTCTGAGCCGCACACTCAGTGGGCCCTGAGCTGTTGCAACCACTGTGTCCCCCCCAGAAGAGCCCCTCCTGCGGTCTGCAGGCAACGGGAATCCCTTCACCGCACACCTTCCTGTCGCAACAGCCAGTCCCTTCTGACTCTCCTTTCTCCGCCACCGCCACCGGTCACAACACCCCAGTCATCGGACTGTCAGGGAGGCTCTGCCTCCGAATACTGCGTGTGTTCGCTCTCCCCCCGCATCCTCACTCCCTCCGCCTCGCGCAAGCCCTGCGACTGTTGGCCGGCCCCCCACACCTCCTGTTCAAACTCGCCCGCTCCTCCCTTTGCGGAAGAAACGCCTGCCTCTCCCAGGCGCCACATCTTCCTGCGGAGCCTCCCCGCGGAGTGGGGAGGCGTCAGGGGGGCAGACCCCGCAGAAGGAAGGTGACTGCCTGCCTGGGCGCGGCCCCTGCAGCGGGGGCAGCGCACACTGGCCTCGCTGAGCTGCTTCCCTGCTTCCCCGCCTCTTAGACCGTTCTGTCCAAACGAAGTTGGGGGGAACCTGTACTGTTCGGCCAAGACGTCTGCATTCAGATTTACTCTGCAGTGATACAGACGCCGTGATAAAAGTTGTCTTTGTTCAGTCGAAGTTGCAAACAGCTGTCCCAGACTGGGGAGACTTGCTCTTACATCCTTGTCCAAAATGCAGCCACCCCCTGGGAACGGGTCCTCACACCATCCCTGGTGCGTGAATGTCCACACCACCACCACTGCCACAGCCGAGACACGGGCACAACTAGGCGTGTGCATGGACGGCAAACGTGGCGGTGCGCACAAGCCACGGAGCCTGCCTCCACCTCCGGACGGAACAGACTGCGAGCACGCACCACAACGTGGGTGGGCGGGTCTCAGGGACACTGGTCTGCGTGAAGGAGCCGCCCACGGCAGGCCACCGCACGCATGACTCCGGGTACACGTACACGAAAAGTCCAGGACAGGCGAACCCAGAGAGACAGGAAGCAGTTTGGTGGCCACCGCACCAGGGAGCAGCAGCAGGGGGTGGGGAGTCACTGCTGACGACGCAGCCTCCTCCCCGCGTGGCAGGCGGGTGTTGGACTCCACGGCAGCTACGGTTGCGCGACGCTGTGAATCGGTGCGCTGCTGCCCCTGAGTTCATGTTAGCAAGGTTAATCTCAAGTTATGTGAGTTTCACCTCAATTTAAAAAATGCCAGCTGCTATGACTTAAAAGTAATCAGAAATAGTTATATAGGGGTTAA